CACACACAGGCATTTTCCATGCCAAGCCCTTTGACAACCAGCTAATGGTGACGGGAGCAGGATTGTGAGGTCTGAAAGCTCCTAGTCATGAACAGTCACAAAGGCGGCAGTTACAAAAATGTTGTCTAGCACTTGGATGAGACAGGAGTGCTATTTAACAGCTGTAACTGTGATTCAGTAGCCCTCTTCAGTATCTGCTCTGCTTACCCTACATAGGATACTAGAAGAAGGTGCCCTAAATATAACCTGTCTAATACAGTATTCTGTATTTCTTCCTGACTGATCCCAGTGGATGTGGTTATCCACCTTTACTGCAGTCGACAAAAACAACGAAGACACCTTCATTTTTTGGACGTAGACCATCAGGACCTTCATGGATAACCCTAATAGTGAATGCCCAGAGCACTGCATTGCAATTGTGGCCTGAGAACTCAGACAGCGTAACATCAGTGTAGCTGCAATGAGTGAGAGGCAGTGAGTGGAAGATGGGCAGTTCAAAGAACATGGATGCAGCTATACCTTCTTCTGGAAGGATAAACAGGAAGGAGAATGCTGACTTCACACAATTGGTTTTACTATTAAGCATGAACTGATAAACCAATTCAATGAGTTCCCTGTTGGAATTAATGAACACATCATGACTCTGTCTTAAACTGGTGGGGAGCCAATATTCCACTATTACCAGTGTGCATGCCCTTACTCTTGGTGCCACAGATGAACCAAGAAGGAATTCCATGCCAACTTTGACCCAAGTCCCTTCTGGCATTCCAGAAGGAGACAGACTTATTCTTCTCAGTGATTTCAGATTTGACAGAGTCGGAAGTCAAATTTCAGAGTTTGGCTGGATTGATCTAGTTGGGGATGGTCCTGTTTTGAGCAGGGGTTTGGACTACATGACCTCCTGAGGTCGCTTCTTTCTGTGATTCTAAGGGGCTCTGATCTCTGGAATGGAGCCATCGACAAGGAGTAGGAAAGGTTAACTCTAGTGGCATCCTCCCCTAAATCAAATGCACGGAACATGGACTCACCATCACTAACACCCTGTTCTGCCAGAAAACAGGCAGAAGACATCATGGCAACATCCATGATCTAAGCATTGGCACCTGATTGACTATGTCATCATCCATGCCAACGATCACAAAGATGTCTGCATCACTCAAGCTATGCTAGGAAATGATGATTGCTGTACTTATCACCAACTCATCTGCTTGGTTAGGTCACTCAAACTGGCTCCCAAATGACAGCTGCAATAGAAGCAATGCTGATGGCAGATCAGTGTCGAAGGACTCAGGGACCCAAGCAAGCGAGACATCTTCTACCAGTGACTTAACAAAAAAACAGTGAATTCCAATCAACAACAGTGGGAGAATGTCAGCAGCCTTTGGGGTGCTCTCAAGGCCAGTGTCATTTAGCGCCTTTGAAGAGACACTTGAATTCTGTACCAGGAAATGTCAAGACTGGTTTGATGAGAATGACCAGGAGATCCAAGAGTTGATTGATCGCAAGCACAAGGCCTTTTGTGCTTGACAAAATGACACCAACTACAAACAAAAGAAATTGAATTTCCAACAAGCCAAGGCAGAGGTCCAAAGGCAGACACATGAGATGAACAAATGGTGGGAAGACGAGGCTAAGGAGATTCCACATCTGGCTGACATCCATAATATGCATTCAAGCACTGAGGGACCAACCCCCTTGAAACTTGAGATGCACCAATACATCAGTCCATATCGTATTGGCATTGATAAAAGGAAAATTGACATTTTTGGCAATTGTCTTTTTTGACTGATGTGGCTGATTAACGTTGCCAATAAATGCCACATGCATTTGTGCAGCTGCAGCATGCACACGGCCAGGAGTGCAGCCTGCTAGCTTGGAGAGCAGCTTATGGCTGGTAAATCTGTGGAGGGAAGGGGTGCGAGTGCAGATTGAGGCCCCCCATGGTGAGGGATGGAGGAAGGGAGTGGGGCAGGGGTAGATGCTGCTCAGCCTGGGTGGGGTGCAGGATGGAGCTGCTAATCATATAGGGGGTGTGGGGAGGTGGGGAAAAGGGTGTGGGGGGGTATAGATTCAGGCTCCCTGCAGTGAGAGAGGGAATGGGACTGGAACAGGGGCAGGCACTGCCCGGGCAGGGTACAGGACAGAGCTGCAGCTTGTCAGGGGGGTTTGCTCCTGCTGCTGTGCACATCCCCAGGGAAGGTTTGGGGGGCATGTGCCCCCGGATTTGTGCGTCCAGTGAGGGCGGGCTGTGTGCTCGGGGCTGGGGCTGCTCCAGCCTCTTCCCAGTGGCTGGGGTGGCCAGTGATGGGACTGGGAGGGGGCCCTGCAGCCACCACAAAATTTGCTGTAGCCTCCCCCATAGTTCTCCCTCCCAGTGCTGCTGCTGCCTGCCCCACCCTGCCTAGCCTGAGCATAGCTGCTGGGAAGAGGCTGAAACAGGCAGAGAATGTCATCATTGTCTCTCTTCTCCATGACAGTATGAGAGTGGTGGTTCTCCGTAATGGATCTATCATAGATCCCTTTGTGGTTAAAATGAGCGTTAAGCTAGGCTGCCTCATTGCTCCAACACTTTTTCAATATTCCTTGCCGCAAGGTTACATCTGATTATCAACCAGCTTCCAGCCAGAGCGGAGCTAAACTACCAAACGGATGGTAAGCTGTTTGACTTCAGCCAACTCCAAGCCAAAACCAAGACCTCCTCCACCAACAAGCTCCTAATGAACAGTCCCAGCTCCAGTAATCCAGATCCACAGTGAGTCTCTGGAGAACATTGAGTATTTCCTGTACCTTGGAAGCCATCTCTTGCAAAAGGCTGACATCGACAAGGAAATCCAACATTACCTCAAATGTACATGTGCAGCCTTTGGATATCTGAAGAAACAGGTGTTTGAAGATCGCGATATCAGATCCAAAACCAAGTTAATGTTTTATCAAGCAGTTATGATTTCCCCCCCCCCTCCCCCCCGCCCTTTTGCTGCATGGAGCTGAGACACTGTATAGGAAACGTCTAAACTTGTATGGAGCTGGACACCGTACAGGAGACATCTAAATTTGTTGGAGAAGTACCATCAATGCTGCCTGTGGAACATTCTCCGAATCCAGTGGGAAGACAGATGCACCAGTGTTAGTTTCCTGCATGCAAACAACATGAGTATTGAGGCAATGATCATCTGACATCAACTTCGCTGGACTGGCCATGTCATCTGGATGTCTGACTCCAGATTCCTGAAGCAAGTTTTATTTTCTAAGCTGAGCCAAGGTGTACGCTCAAGAGGAGGGCAGAGAAAGTGCTTCAGGGACGTCCTCAAGGCCAACTTAAAAAAAAAGAAAAAAAAAAAGAAAAAAAGCAATATCATTGTCAACTTATGGAAGGCTATTGCCCAGGACTTCCCCAAATGGACAAAGAGTCTGCTGCAGGGATCTCAGTACTTTGAAACCTCAGGACAACAACAGGAGATGGAAAAGCAGGCTCAGTAGAAACAGCGTGTCTTGGAGCCACTGAATTTCAGCGTCACCCACCCCACGCAAACGTGTCTGAGCTGCAGTAGAGTCTGTTGATCCCAGATAGGCCTCATCAGCCATCTTTGGACACAGATAAGACAAATAATGTGCAACTGCAAGGGATTGCCGAAGAGATATAGCTTGTTAGAGTTCATGTTTTATTCTGTGTTCCTCACTCAGTCAAAACTTCCATTTTTTTTTTAATGGCATGTCTTTTGTCTTTATATATTCTCCTTTAACATTTATTCATACTGGTTCTGTTTTGGTTTGTGTACTCTTTTTGATCTGCGGTGTGAATTTCATTTGTTCCGCCAGTATAGTGTGTTAAACAATCATCTAGAATCTTAATCGCATGTCAGGCTTTTGTTTGAATGTAGCTGTATGTTCTGGTTGTTTGGAAGGCTTTTTTATGTCCTGTCCAGCCAAGCCCCCATTATCAGGAGTTCTTGATTTTTAACCCCTTTCACTTGCCATTTCGTGATTGGAAAGGACCTTTTGTAGTAATGATCATTATAGCAGGATCAGAGTGATAATGTTGGTCTTCACAAATAAAGGGTTGAAAAATATGAAGTGGTATAAATGTCTGTATACCAAAAATGAGAAACTAAGTAAAATTTGAAATTAAATGCGTGACAGTGGAAGATGCCAGAGGCAGAGTGGGCAAGCTGTTCTAAATAAGTTGACAACCACCCAATCTATGGCTGTTTATGTGCTGTCACTTGATGGAGTTGTGTTTCGAGCAGTGGTTGTGTCAGATGAGCAAGATTGCGTGACAGTAGCTTGATGGCCCTGCTTCATCTAGCAGGGGTTCTGTGCTTTCAAAGAAAAAAAGACTATTCCTGCTAGAAATCTGCTTTGGTTGTGAGGGGGTGGAGAAGGGTGCAGGAGTAACTTGGAGAGAACAGGATGGCTCCTGTCTGGGCTCCATAGTCAGAGAGGACTGGAGGAAAGAAAGGGCTTGCTTTCTCATCAGATGGAAATAACAGCATAGATTTAGAATACGAGATGGGAGCTGAATCTCTAAGAGGAGATGCCACTTGAAGAAAGTCAGCAAGACCCAGAGTTCTGTGGGGAAAAATATAGAACCCAGTAGTGAAATGAAGAAACTGAATTTGGGAAAATGCTTGTTTTGCTTTAAGTTGTCTTTTGAATTGTGATGTTGTTAACCAGATTCCGGGAAGGGATGTTTGAGACTCGGAGTCTGGGTTCAGTAATTGAATAAGAAGGGGAAACAGGAGCAGGAGCAGGGTCTGAAACCAGATTGGGTAAAACCCTACTGCAAGGATTGTGGCAATACGATCCAAATATAGGAAAAGGAGAGGATACCTGGAGTCTTTAAATTATGCAGGAATAATGGATTCATCGTAGAAAAGGTACAATACCATTATATGTAAGATTTTATAATAAACTGTGTGGAATATTCTTTGATGTCTGAAAATTTTGACACTCATTTTAACTCTAGATGCATTGAGTATATTTCTATTTTTGTATTTTAACAGAGTTTAAAAGCAGATCCAGAAGAGCTGTTTACAAAACTGGAGAGAATTGGCAAGGGATCTTTTGGTGAGGTTTTTAAAGGAATTGACAATCGGACTCAGAAAGTAGTTGCTATAAAAATAATTGATCTGGAAGAAGCAGAAGATGAAATAGAAGATATCCAGCAAGAAATCACAGTGCTGAGTCAGTGCGACAGTCCATACGTAACAAAATATTATGGATCCTATTTAAAGGTAAGAAAATTATTCCTCTCTCTCTCTCTCTATTTTTAATAGTGAAAGATTTCATTCAGCCATGAAACTGTGGATGTTTGTAAGGACCACAATAGAATAACAGCATTCTAATTTAAAGGGGAAATGTTTTGATCCTTTTGATTTTAAAGACCAAATGAACCACTGTATTTTGTGGAGATCTTGTGGCAAGACTTTGGTTAAGAAGAAAGCAGTATATGTGTCTGTTTTGTCCCTTTACTTTAAAGGTAGAAGGTAATTATTTTGTCTAATATTAATTTGTCAGCAGTGTTATATTATGGTCTTAACAAAAAGTAACCTGTTTATATCAAGTAAATATTATAAAGGTCATACTCTTGGACTTTAAGATTAGAACACATTGAAAATATAATTTAAAAAATAACACAATTTAAACTACTCTAACGGCTAGTACACTAAGTTTAACTAGTTTTGTTGGGCTTTAACTTGAAACAGTATATTTTTAAGAACTAAGATGTGTTTAGTTTTGGCTCCACTCTTGACCTGAGCATCTTGTCACAGTTCCCAATTCAGATATCTTTATATGTGGGATAATAGGTTCCATTCAGGTTTTGAATAGGGTACAACCTGAAAGTACAAGTTTTATTGATCTGATCAACTTTTAGCCTGAATTTCTTTTCCTTGAATCAGCACTGAGCTGATTTATATGAGATGAGTTCTATGCTGCTAGATTCTTAGAAGAAGTAATACTTATTATGACTGGCATTCTTCATTCCTTATAAAAGGTAGCAAGCCACCTTGGAGATTTTGGCACTCTTTTGTCTGACTGTTACGTCTGCGTAGTTCACTCTTCTTGTCACTGAAACTGCTTAAAGGAGGGCAGAGCTTTCATTAATGCCTTGAAAGATGGCTCAGAGGTTTTAAATCGTAGAAAATACCTGAAGTACAATGTTCTATCCACTTCCTTCATCCTAGGAACTTCCTGCTTCATTTGTGAAGATATATTCTAAAAAATTAATTATTAACCCGTCAAGATTTCTGAGGTCATTTGGTTGCAGAGTAAGAATGGGTTGCTCAGTGGATCAAGAAGACGCATGGCTAACCCTGCTAAGATAGTCCACTCTCTACATGCTGCTGTCTGGACTTAGCTGCCCAGGCAGCTTGAGAATGTGAGCTCTAGGGATATTGTAAGTAATATAAGATCTAATGTCATGTCTTTGCTGCCTTTGTGCAGACTTTTTTGAGAACAGATCTAAAAAACAGCAGGAAGGCTGTGAAGCACATGGCTGAACAAAATAAATGGTCTCATTTGTAGCTTTCTTTCTTTCTTTTTGGAATCTCTTGACCAAGGATTGTTGGTTACATGAAACATGACTTTTTAGAGAGGGCAAAAGCAACATTTCTTCTTAGAATTTTTTCTTATTAAAGTCTGACCTGTCTTTTCATAAAAATCAGTCTTGTATTCCAAGGGAAATGTTCCTCATGAATTCTTAAGATCATTTCTTCCATTCCCCACCTAGACATTTCTCCTAGAGGCATAGTGGTGAATGTGCTTTTCAGAAGAGAAGACTGATAGCAGTAAACTAATTTTGTTTGATAGCAATGAATACACATGATTGAGTACAGTAATTTCAAAACCACATGGTTCCTTCCTAAATAGAGGACAGTCCTTTTGAGAATTTAGGAACTAAGGAGGCAGGGTTGAGTGGCACCATATAAACCAATTCAGAGAGCAGCCACCCTGCCCTGCCTTCTGCTTTTTAATTGAATGTATTATTTATTGTGATAGACAGAGTCTCTATCTAAGACAGATTGAAAAAGATCCAAGCAAGAGTCATGGGCCTCACTGGGGCATGTCTTATGTTTTTGTAGTAAATACATTTTTAAACATAAATCTAACTGCTATATCAGTACCAGATGTGTCAGTATTCATGCAGGTCAAAGTAAGGCAGTAGAATGGGTGGGAGGAAAAGTGACTACAGGTAAAAAAAAAAAAAAAAAGGACCTGGGTAAAAGGAGAGGAGGATAAGTATATGGTAGCCAGTGTGAGAGAGATGTGCAGCAATCAATGTCACTATAGCAATTAGGAGGGGGAATATACGTTTCTTAGTTAAATGAGTGATATCAGGAGGCTGTGAAGGTAGTACTGACAACTGCCTCTGTTACCATTGCTCCGTATGTACATAAACTGTCAAAAGGTACTTAACTAAACATTATTTTCATTTGTAGTTAAAAAGCGAGCAACATATGAAATTACTTGAGTACATATCTAGTGGATTAAGATCTAGAGCACTGGTTCCCAAACTTTTGATACCTAGGGCACATGTTTTTTTTCTGAACTACACCCAAAAATGTGTCTGTAAGTCTCAGGGTAATGTATGGGTATGTGTTTTAGGCCCAATTGCCTACTTACACATGGTTGAGCGTATGCAAGTCATGAGGCCTGTGTGAATAGGGAAGTATCCGATTCAAATTTGGCCGATTTTGGAGTATCGTGATTTGATTCGGATCGCTATCCTGATTCGATTTGGCCGAATCAACTTTGGAAGATTCGGCGCTGATTTGGACAGATTTGGTGATTTGGATTGGCGGGAGAGAGACAGGCACAGCTGGGCAGCTGCAGATTCTCCTGTGGCTCCTCCGGCTGTGCCTGCCTCTCTCTGGGCAGGGGTAGCTGCAGGAGAAGCCCCCATGGCTGCCCTTCCTGGCTCCAGCCTAGCCCCGGCACGTTAAAAAAAAAACACCCAGAAAACCCCTGTACTCACTGGCTGCAGAAGCAGCGATTGGGGCCTCTGGGCGCTCATGGCGGAGCCCCCCGCACAGTGTGGGGTAGTGGGGATTGCCCCCACCCGCCTGGTACCCGATTGAGGCATGCTACCTTGTTTGGGGCAGCCTCCCCGTGACATGGGTGCAGTGCGGCTTGGCAAGGTGCTGCATGCTTTCTGGGACCTGGGGCTGAGCATTGCCGGGCTCCGGTTGACACGTGGAGATGCCTCAGCTCCCAGGTGAATAGAACCAGGGGCTTCCCCCTGGGAAGAGCTGGGGGAAGTGATCAGAGAGCTCCAGCTAAAAGCTGGAGCCGCCCCAGCTCCCAGGCAGAGTATGGTGCCCTGCCGAGCTGCACTTCACCCCCACCATGGGGCAGCTGCCATGAAGCAGGGGATACAATCCCTGCTGCCCCGCGCTGCGCGGGGTGGCTATGCCACGAGTATCCAGAGGCCCCAATAGCTGCTGCTGCAGCCAGTGAGTTTGGCCGGGGTGGGGCTTTAAGTGCTGGAGGCTGGGCCAGGCGTGGGATGGGGCTAGACAGGGCAGCCATGGGGGTTTCTCCCACAGCTCCTCTGGCTGTTCCTGCCTCTTCCCCAGCTGTGGGGGCTATGCCCTGCTGCCGCTTGCCCAGGTGGTGTTGGGGGGAGGTGTGATGCAGGTGTAGCTTGCTCTGGGTGGCAGCAGGGCAGAGCCCCCACTCCCAGCGCTGCTGTGCCTACATCAGCACTGGGAGCTGGGGCTCTGCCCTGCCGCCACTTGCCGGCCAGCCAGCACGAGGGGGCATGGGATGTGGGCGTGGTAGCGCTGGGAGCAGGGGCTCTGCCCTGCTGCTACTGTCAGCTGCCTGTTTAGTTTATGGCTGAATCTGAATCGTCCGGATCTTTTTCCGAAGCTTTTCCAAATTGATTCGGAGCTTTTACTTGGTCTCCTGATTCAGTTCAGATTTGGAGATTCGGTCCCAGAATTGGGCCAAATCTCCTCCAAATTGAATTGGCTACCGAAGCTTCACACAGCCCTACAAGTCATGTATGTATATACATGACTACTTGCCTTCCACCATGTATATCAGTGGTCTCCAACCTTTTTATGGTGAAGATCACTTTTTGGAAGTAAAGGGCACCCCAGGATCTATCGTGCCCTCCCTCTGCCCCACCCGACCCTGCCTCCTGCTCCATCCCTACCTTGTCCCATGCACCCCTGGACTGCAGAGTGTCCCAGACTGGGCTGGGGCCCAATCCCACATCTGTACTGCGGCTGCGCTGAGCTGCGCCCACCTAGTGGCCAGACGAACATGGCGTCAGGCCCCGGCCCCGGGCTGGCTAGGTCTGCGAGTCTCTGTGGTCCAGAGGTGTGTTTTGGGGGGGCGCTCCTGCTGCTGGGCGCAGCCTGCCAGAGGCCCTGGTGGCCTGTGCTCCCTAACCTGTGGTCCAGAGTCCCTGGGCGACTGTGCCCTCCCCCACCTATGCTCACAATAAGGTAGCTGCTGCTGCAGGCTGCC